ACTCTGGGTTCTTCCAGAGGGCCCCTGGAATATCTCAAAGGATTTGTCTCTCACCTGGTAAAATGTTAAACTAAGCAGGCTTATTTGGTATGTTAAATATCATCAGATGCTTGTCAAATAAGAAGGAATACTAAATCTTTTTACCTTATATTGTGTAGGTATATGCTAATATAACTATTCCAAGGTTGTATGAAATTCCTGAAGTTCTGAGATGTCCTGATATAATGTTATCAGTCATAATTTAAAAGTGTATCACCGAAATATGCAGGTTTTCATTGTCAATTCCATAATAATGAACTTTTACCAAAATCTTTGATAATAAGCATTTTCAAGTCTTCTTGTCATTTATAGGCTGTTATTGCTTTATACTAAAATTAACTTTAATCTCAGAGAAATTCATGGAAAGATCTCTGACAGGTACTCTGGAATACAAGTTTTTGATAACTTTAAGATCATAACACTGAACTGATTGGGTAAGAATTTCTAAAACTCTAATGGAAAACTGATTGCCTTAATGTTTTGTCTCCCAGATGTAAAGGACCCCCTTTGCTCCTCTCCTTTAAACTATCTATAACTTAGGGAATTTAGAAAAGTGTATCTTCTCAACCAAGGATGAACCATTCATCTTTCTCTCCCTACCTGCTCCTCCGAAAGTTCTGAAGTTCTGATTAAATGCCCTTGTTGTCGTGACGATGTGTGCACTTGCATAGGTTTGATGGGAGTCTCTGTTCTTTGTAACAGGATGCCCAGTGCACCTGGATCCTGCTTCCTTTGATCCAGAGCTGATAAGGCAGACAAACTTTAATACTGTAAAGGCCTAATTACATCTATTAAAAATAGCCAGGCTCTGGTAGAACACTCTTTTTGCAGTGCATTCCCAGGAGACGAAAACAAACATCACTCTCTACAGCCTGGGGATTTTGTGTCCTGGAAAAGGCACCTCCAAAAGGATTCTCTCCAGCCTCATTGGAAGGGCCCCATCAAGTACTGTGGACTAACCCTTGTTACTCAGATAAGGCCTTGTGAAGTCTCTGATTCATGTGTCTTCCCTCCAACCTGGGACTTGACAACTGGGGAGGATCCATCCTGGCACCACTGCACACGGAGATTCTGACTCTAGATCAGTGATGCTTCCAAGGAAAGATCTTGGTCAAAAGGGGGAAATGAGGAATGAATTAAACCTCAGCTGAAGCAGTACCAGGACAGACGTGTAGGGGGCGCTCTCATGCCCACCTTGCATCTTCAGTTACCCCAAACAGAAAGAGACAGGCACCTTCATCTCCCACAGAAAGTACTTACTCTGTAACGGGAAGAAGGAAATGCTCCACCCCTGACAGCCCAGCCCATCAGAGACTGTCCAGCCTAGCCAATGAGAAGCCTCCATATGCTGGACTCCCAGCTCCTCCAAGGGACTCTTTGCTTATCACAGCCTCTCCCAACTCCCCTCCTTTTCCAAGAAACTGGTCTCTGTGCCCTGAAAGACGAATTCAGGCTCAGAGACAGAGTTTTGGGAGAATCAGAAATGAATGGCTTTATTGTTTTGCCAGGCAAGGGGGAGTCCCAGCAGGCTAGCTCCTTAGACACTGTGAATCCATCTTGGGGTTGGGGTCTTGAGGTTTTATAGAAAACTGGATGGAGCAGAAGAGTAGCAGCAACCAGGGGCAGTTTGTGGTGCTGTGTTCTTCTTAGGCTTGATAAGTTCATCTGGTGTCACTGAAAACAGGGTCTGTCGATTCTTCTGAGGTCATCAACTTGGGACTTTCTTTCTGAAAAACAGCATCTGGGTTAAAAAAAAATAAGCTATTTGGGATAAAAGAATGTATAGGGAAGGTTAGGGGCTATTTTAGCAAAGCAATAGAGCGAGTAAACAAAAAGAAAAACAAGGTGTGCCAAAATGAATCAGCTGACGGCAGCACACAGCCTTGGCATCAGGGAAGCCGCTTTGTTAGCTGTGTTCGTCAGATTTCTGCTCTTACATCCCCTCCTTTGTTCTGTGGAGCTGCCTGGAGTCCACCATAGTTTGCATATCCTGGATTGCAATTCCTCTGCTATTTCTGAATAAACTCATCTTTGCTAGTGAAGTAACTGGCTATTATATTATTAAAGTTGACACTTACTTTTTGGTACAGTATTTGCTGAATTTACTCTGCTTCAGCCCTAGGTTCTGCCTTTTCTCCAAGAACCCATGGTTCCTTTCAGGTGGAAAGTGGTGGTTAGAAACCAAGATCTGGGCCCCAGGGATGCTCATTGCTACCAGGCTAGCATGATTTCTAGAGCTGGAAAATACATGTATGTCTCTACATACATAAGTGCAGACACACGTCTGCATCCCTGTCAGTGTCTTTCTGCCTTAAACTGTGAATTTGCATGGCTACCTCCAACTTCAGTCCAGCCCAGGAGTTGGTCTAACCCACTCCCTTTCCTTTCTTGCAACTCCCTTTGACAGTGAGAAACCTAGCCTTCTTCATCACTTACTCACATATCTGCTTATTTGCTCCCCTGACAGGCCAACAGCTGGTCCCCATGAAAGGGGGGGGATGGAGGGAAGAGGCTTAGCGACAAGACCTGAAGGGTCTGAGACATCCCCCTGCTTGCAGCCAGCAAGTGGGCCTGCCCATGTCCTGGATGTGGCCAAACACCCAAGACAAAGGAGTTAATTCTCATGGGGTAGTGGGCACTCTGTTTGCAGCGGTGCCCCTTGCACCCAAGCCCCATTGGCTCATGAGGAGTGCTCAGGTGTCATGCACATGGCTAAGGAACCCTGGGCCGGGAAACACCAGTCTTTTCAAGGGATGGCTGGTAAACCTGCCCATCCCTGCTCATGTTGGACAGCAAAGACCTGCCCTTCATTAGGGGAGAGACCCTCTTTGTTCATGGTGATCTGCTGACAACAGCCCTGAAAAGATAGTCAAACAAGAGCTGCCAAGGCCGAAGGAGGTGGCAGCAGCGGAGGGGCCAGAGGTGGGCAGGGTCTGGATCAATTCAAAGGCTGAACTGGTGGGCAGACTAGGGGTGGGTCCCAGAAAAGAGGATTCAGGAGGATCCTGGGGGTTCTGGCTGAGTGTCAAGCGGCTGATGGAGCAGTGAATGAAGCAGGAATCTTCAGGTGGAGGCAGGAGTTCTGTTTCACGACATCCAAGAGCCGTGGAGAGGAGGAGGAGCCGGTGCTACATCTGGAGGCCAGGGAGAGGCTGGTTGGGTGAATATGGGTCCAGATGTGTGAGACACAGGCCACCCCAAGTCAGGTAAGTCCCGTGCGTCCTACTGACAAGGGCTGCTCCCCGTGCTTTCTCTCCTGGTGGTTGTCCCGGTCTTCTTCCACAACAAATGCAGTGGTTTGAAGCGACATCCATTTTTTAGCTCACAGTCTGTGGGTCAGACGTCCAGCATGGTCGCATCAAGGACACAGCCTTCTCTCCTGGTGCCTGGGATCCTTTCTGAGCATGATCCCTCGGGTGGCAGAATCCAGGTCCCATGGCTGTGCCCTGAGGTCCCTGTTCCTCGAGATGTCGGCCAGGGCTGCCCCCGCTGTAGGGAGCGTCCACAGTCCTTCTCATGCTTGGGACTCTGTGACCTCCTCTTCTGCCACCAGCTGGAGAAAACGCTCCTCTTCCGAGAGCTCAGTGCCAGGTCAGGCCCCCCGAAGTCCGGGCACTAGGACCCCAAGCCCCGTCAGCGCACAGCGCCCGATACATCACTCTGCAGTCCGGGTCCCAGGGCTAGTGCGGAGCCTCGTCGACCACAGCGGTGCGTGAACCGCCGCCAGTTCCTTGGCGTGGGCTGGACGGTGCTTCCTCTGTGGGCCTGAGTGAGTAACAGCAACTCGGAAAGTTCCAAGAACTGTGCCTCCTGTTAGAAGTCAAGACACAGATAAACTTTTTGAGACGGGGCTGTACATCAAATGACGCATTATTAACAGTTCACATAACCCAGATCCGAGCGCCGGGGACTCCTTGTCAAGGAGGAATGTTATCTTTAAGGGCTCGTCTTAAGTTGCTCTGCACAGTTGAGGGGGGAGTTCTGCTGACCGGGAAGGTTTGGTCGATGTAGAATGCAGATACACAATGCACAGCAGGGGAGAGAGGGCCAAAGGGCAGAGAAGACTTTTGCTTACGTTTTTCTTGTCTTGCTATAAAATTCGAGTTTCATTTCACAGCTTTGGGAGAAAAGGCAAGGTCCTTCTCTCTTTCGCACGCCCAGCGGACGCCGCGTAAGGACGAGGCTGCAGTCTGCAAGTCAGGAAGCGAGCTCACAGCTCGTCAGAACCTTGACCTTGGACGTCCAGGCTCCAGGACGATGAGGAACTCAGTTTCCGCGGCTTAAGTCACCCATTAAAGGTATTTTGTTATGAAGCCCAAGCCAGCTAAAATGAGATTCTCTGGGTCGCCTATGTTCAAAACCTTGTCTTCTGGGAATAAAGATTTTAGGTCTTCTTTGCAAACCCTTGCCCCTTTCTCTTCTTGCTTTCTTGGCGCCACGAGGCCAGGACGCTGGGGAGAGCGGTGGGAGCTAACACTCCCCTCCCCTCCCTCTCCCTCCCCTCCCTCTCCCTC